GCGTGGCACTTGTTCCTAATAGCTTCTTGTTACTACTAGTAAGGCACCTGTTACTAGTAGCGATGCACTTGTTCCTAGTAGCTTCCAACGAAAATAAACATGATGTCATAGCCATGAAGGATTTCTCAAGAAAAATGGTGGGGTTTTTTTCTGCCTGAACCTACGGTATATGATGTCTCAAATCAAAATGAATATTCCACTGATCTCTGATTCACATCATTATGGTGGCTCTTCTGGAGTCTTAACTGACACAGCCAGAAAGAACCAACACATGGGTCCAGCGTGACAAATGCTGCACAGGAGCGCCTCAGGAGATTTCAGTCCGGAAGCCGAAGACGGCGCCGCGCTGGTGTCGACTGCGCCCTGGGTCGGTACTATGGATGGGACACTCCGGCAAAGTGAGAGGTTGATCAAGGGGGGGATGGTTTTTTTGGGGGGGAATTTGGGGTATTTAGGTCTGTAAATAGCTTCTTGTTACTAGTTCCTTTCTTCTCCATGTTAAAATCTACTCGGGAGCATTGCGCAGCAAATGTTAGGGAAGATTAGATTGGCTCTCTAATGTTCTTCTTGCTGGGAGTGCTGTCATACCTTTTTCCCGCTTGTCCGGCCTTTAAAGGAAGAGGCGTCTCATCATGACAACCGTGCCAATCGATCAAAGCCATGTTTAAAGCGTCAAACTATTAGGATGCAGGCCATCGCTAGCTGCTAGTAGGTTGGAGGCCATCGCCATCAGGTTGGAGACCATGGCTATTAGATTGACTATTGGTAAACCTCTTGGACGGCTAAGCCTTCGCCAGTTGACCTCTTCAGCTCCCCTCGACCTGTTCAGCTGCCCAGGGAGGAAGCTGAGGCCCAGGTGCTCCGTTCGCTGGCATCGGTGCACGCCAGAGGTCCGTGGTTCAATGGATTTACACCGTGTTTATCAGTGGGAACGGACTATGTGGGTCACCTATATGGACTACGTTCGTTTCGTTTTTTCTTGGGTGCCCAAGCTATGAATCGGAGCTTCCTCGAGCCGATAGGATTTGGTCAATGCTCCCAGTCACCACTACTGGCCATACGGCCATACTACTTGTAAACATCCTAGTAAACAAATGTGCTATCGCAAAGGCCTTCAGCTTGCCACTTGGACTCCAACGGAACAGGGCACTCGGAAGGCACGGATAGGCAAAGGGGTAGAGATTGCCAAATGATCACCTTAGTGTCACCACGACCAGATCGATCCCACGGGTACACGGCGTGATCGAAGATGGTTGCCGATTGAGATCTTTGTTTCCACGGGCAGGCAAAAGTATACGTGAATGAATCCAGAGACCAGTTCTTCTCGATGGGTGGAACCTTCCTGTGCAGATCGTGCTGCATCTCCCTCAGTGGACTTGGACAGGGTTTTCCTCATACCTGCAAGAAATGTCATAGCTTGGAGCTTGGAGTGTCGAAAGACGACACCCCATATGAGGTGTGTCATGCTGCTCCCTCCCGAACAACCCCCCCAAAAGGTGGCAACGCATGATGACACTATACCACTGAACGTTGGAGGTTTGGGGTTTGACTAGCCACATGCAGAACAGTAATTAATCATGAGGATCTAGTAGAAGTCCCCTTTCAACCTGTACTGTAGTGTGTCTTCTTCGCAGCATGGCTGAGCACCAACATGCTGCACAGGCAAAAAGGGCAAAAGCAGAGGCTGAGGTGAAGCCCGAATCGAAGAAAGATTCCTGACAACTGAGCATCGCCAAGCTTTCCAAGTCAGTCGGAGCGGTTGAAGAAGACGAGGTATATCGTGAAGTGCTAAGAATTTGGGCCAGGTATTGGGCAAAGAGGTGAGTTGGTCCAGGACGGTTTCAAAGAGCTTCGGCCGGCTCACAGGGCACGCACGGCATGCAAACAGGATGCGCGATGCCTTTAGCACATCCACAAGGGGTGTGTCATAGCTGGGGTTGGTCCGGAAAATGCAACTGTGCGATAGCCAAGTCACTACGTTCCCCGTGTGGCATTTCAACTTGCGCTTCTCAGAATGTCAGACACCACCAGAAATTGTGACGGATGATCTCAACGTCCGGAAAATCACGACCAGAAAGCGGCCTCATTCCGGCCGGTGTGTACCTATAGCGTTTGCAGATGAGAGTAGTTTCTTGTAACAATGTTCGCTACTAGGAACAGGTGCATCGCTACTAGTAACAAGTGCCTTACTAGTAGTAACAAGAAGCTATTAGAAACAAGAATTCAATTAGAAACAATAAGCTACTATTAGGTAGATGTGTGTACCAAAGTTGCACGGAGATGATATCATGTTACTGGCGATCCGTCGATCAACACAGCGTGAAAGGCCATCTTCACGGGTCGGATCTGGCCTCCCGCATGCTTGGAGAAACTCACCACAACTACTAAGAGCTCATAGAGCTTGAAGGGAAAATCTGCATACGTTTTCACATTCGTTTGTTCACGTGTTTCTCTTCTTGAGATAGTTCTACCGTGTCCTACCGCTGCTAAAATCCACCCCCACAAGTGGCAGTTGGCGCCCCTAAGTCCGTGAAAACAGCTGAAGTCGCGACGAACTTGGTCACTGATGCTGAGAGCGCATCACAACTCGGTCGATGTGACTGCTGCGTGTCCCAGCCATTTGGCTCACCTGGCGCCGCTCTCGAACGCAGTCTCTTGAAATGACCCACGTTTCTCAAAAACACCTCGTGTGTCACCATGAATCCAGCTTTTGGAACAAGGAAGCTTGCCAAATATTTGGAAAACCGGAAACATTTCAGTCGTGCCCATTCCAATTATGTGGGAAGGTCGACCTTCACAGAGCAGGTTGAAGCAGAAAAACCTTTTTGGGGGCGGCATGTTGAGATTGTTAAGTCGCAAAGGTCGCCGACAGGAATTTGAACTTTGAAGTACTTTGAACCATCGAATTATATATTAATCAATATATAACTCTTCAAAGCAAGGTCCTCGATAAACCAGTTCTCCACCCCTCTAACACCGCTTAAAAGCGGCAGGTTGGAACCTGGAAATGGAGAAGATGACTTTTGTAGAGAGTGGATGGGCAACAGGGAATCAGCTTGCCTAGGTCAAGGTCTCTCCAACACTTGCCCATACCTGAGACGTCTTGAAGAGCATCCACTGATACTTGAAACCTCTCTAACCTCAACCAAGCCTTGTCTCGCCCCCAGCCATCCACGCCCTACGCAACAACACGGTGCCCATGTCCTCGCGCTTCGCGGCGCTACGGGCGTCGGACTCGGAGGAGAGCAACGCGACGCGGAGGGCGAAACTTCGCTGAACTTGCAGCAGCGGGTGTCATCGTTTGTCCCACTGGCAATTGTTGAATTGGCTTTGGCCAAAACGGCCAGACACCTAGAAGCACTCGCTGTGATTGATTTGATACTCCTTCACGGTACGGGTCATTTGGCGGTTGAAGGAGTTTTGGGGCACACCAACGTATTGCTCAACCACGGAGCTCCTCATATAAAGTGTCCGCACAGCAGCCTCATGGCAATCTTCATGCCACTGGCGGGGCTCCACATCCAATATAATATACACAGCCTTTGCAAGCACCATCTACTGCATGAATCGTGTTTCAGCAAGTCAGACTGACCAGAGAAGGGTCTCAAAATGTCTCAGTCTCACAACTCCTCGAATGTCCGGTGCTGCAGGGGGATGAACCAGACGACCAGAGCGGAGACTGCAGAGACCACAGTGACTTGGCGGCTTTTCCTTCGGAGCCTGTGAGCTTGGTGGTGTTCTTTCTAAGGTCATGCGGCGGAGGCGACTTCAGACGCTGATGTGGAAGAGGTGGTCCTCAGCCATGAGAGTCTGGATGTGAGATTTCTAGACCCCCCGTTCATTGATCCATCAGCTTTTGGGGCCAGTGCTTTTTGATGCGCTTTTCGTGATCTTACCTACGGCCTTTTCACCATTGGTTTCTTTTTGGTACGGCCTTTTCACCATTGGTTTCTTTTTGGTCACACTGTCACACCCCGAATCGGGATGTTTTTGGATTGCCGACGTTCACATTGAAGAAAAACATGAAGAGCAAGGACGCTGCTAGGGGCTCCTGGCATCGCTGCTAGGAGCAAGGGCCTTACTACTGGGAACAAGAAGCCATTAGAAACAAGAATTAAAATAGAAATAAGGCTTATTAGAATAGAAACAATAAGCTACTAGGAGCAAGGGCCTTTCTAGTAGTAACAAGAAGCTAGTAGAAATAGGTTTAATTAGAATTCAAATTAGCAAAGAATTGGGTCTCACAGTCCCCAGCCGTGGTTCGAGGCTTCAGAGGCGGACGAGGACGAAGAGGTCTTTGACGCTGAGTCCACCGCTCTGGACCGGAGGCAGCTTCTTCAGGAACCAGGGGAGGGTGACCTACAACTGCTTGCTATGCTATCACTGCTTGCTTCGTGGTGGTTGTGAGGTTGTTTTTGTATTTTTTTCAGTTAGGCTACTGCAGGTGCTGGATTGCAAGAATGAATCTCCCAAGTGAAGGAGTCTAGAGGACCTTGTGGGGCTTCGTTTCATATCTCCTTGGAACTAGCCATGATCAGAATGTCACTGGCTCACCCTGTGAGGTCCTGAACGTTGTTGTCGTTGTCGTGGTGGTTGTGGTGTGGTTGTGGTTGTGGTTGTTGTTGTTGTTGTTGTTGTTGGTGGTGGTGGTGGTGGTGGTGGTGGTGAATTGGATCATGTATGACATACAATGGAATGCAAAGGTTGACATAATTACGCTCAAATCGTAGATCGGTGTCAGAGGTGGACCTATTGCCTCGTGGGGGGGTCATCAACGTTTCAGATCTGATTGCTCGACCAAATTGCAAGGCCCAAATTCCCGAGGGCCTTTGGATGGTGGCAATTTAGGCCCTATCCTTTGGATGCTTGCAAAGCCCTTTGTAAGCCTAAATTGCAATTCACTAATTACTTGGCCCTTGGATGGTGAATCACAGGTCGCAACTTTCAAAACCGACCGGGCAAGGTTTGTGGGCCTGGTAAGCAGAACCCCGCCCAGACAGAGCAGCGGAAATCAGCGGACCCCAGGACCAAATCCCGTATCGGACAGAATTGAAACCTGGTTAGACCCTTCTAAAGCAACTATATTAGACCCTTCTTCCTTCTCTTTTCTTTGTTTCTAATAGCAAATGGCCTCCACCCTAGTAGCGATGGCCTCCAACCTACAAACGTGATGGCCAACCTCAAAGCCTACTTTAAGGGGACATCAGCGGACCCCAGGACCATTTAGACCGGCACTCCCTCGGGGCCACCCACAGCAACGTGGGCGAAAGCCACTTGCGGTCACCGGTAACCGCCACAATGCGGCGGTATGTGGCACAGGTTGAGTGGTGCTGAGCTTCGACTCTTTCGGGAGGAGAGAGGCATCACGGTGGAATCTCTCAGAGGAGGCCCACGCTGAGGGGCCACCTGGGGTGGAGGATGGTGACGTGTTTGTGTTTAATTAACACTGTGCATGGTTTTTGATGAGCTCCAGGAAGTTTTAGGGCACCACGTTTAGCTCGCTGGTGTTCGGGTCCTTTTCATGCAATGTCCTTGTGCTGAAGGAGCCTTGAGCTTTAGAAGCGCTCACTTTGTTGTAGGTGGAGCGTTGAAAGGCACCAAGAAATGCGCCAAGGAAAGCACGAAGACCTCACCATGACCTCGACGACCATTCAAAAAACTCAGTCTTATTGGCGATCCCGTCGCGACTCCCGTCGCGTTATTTCTTACTTCGGCTGTGAGGCGATCCTTCTGCGAAAGAGTTTCTTGGTATTGGAAGTGGGGGGTAGCTGGAACCATCAGACCTTATTATCAGTCCTCGAGCCCCTTGAAGCCCAGCAACCTAGGAGTTGTAGTGGACAACATTGCCTCTGATGTCAGTGGCTTTGGATGCTCTGGTGATATATGGTGATCGTCCTTTCAGTTCAAGTGCTTGCTTGTACGTAGGCCTGTTGCAAATAACATATAAATGCAGGGTACTTTGCTTGGGCAATACAATCAATCATGCGAGGAGATCTTTGGTAGATCCCCATACTCCCCTTCTGCCGCCTCAGGCAACACAACATCCTCTCTGCGTAAACAGGATCAAATCCTGCCACAAGGGACCTCTTCCACATGAAAAACCTTCCCCCTAGATGCCATGCCATGCCCAGTCCCTGACGCCGCGCAGCGCCGAGCCCCATCGCCGGTGGCCGAGGACCCCTCCGGTGCTGGGCTTCGACGCGCTGCACCGCTGCGGCGTCGACGCCGCGCTGGCGTGCCGCGCGCGCGGCTGCGCCGGCGGCCGAGGCGCCACTACGGCGGTTCAGGCGCAAGGGGACCGGACAGGTGAACGGGCCTAGGGTTTGAGCTGAGGAAGGGGTGGCCTTAGGCTATAGGTTTGGTTTTTTGCTTTAGTGATTCGCTTTTCAATGCTCCGCAGAGGATCCAAGGCTTCGAAAGCGGGTCGGCCAAAAAGACCAACCAGCATCGCCTTCCGGCTTCCTTCCGGAACGGAAAAAGCACTCCGCATCACTTCGAGCTAAGCTTCGCAGGCTGAGTGCTGGGGCCAACTCTTACGACTACGATTTGGAGGTCGGCGAGGGGGCCGCCTGGGGGGGACCTATGCAGATCATCTGGAGTAGGGCACGGGCCGGGAAGGTGGTAGAATCTAGTAGAACCTAAGCAAGCCCAGCGCCCTCCGTTCCTAAGCGGTTTTTGGGTTGCCTTTTTTGGTTGCTCATGTGGTTTGCCTTCAGTTGCCCTTGCCTGTCAGCCAATGCTACAGCCATGTGATGGGCCAATCGCATTGAAGTCACATGGTTGCCATTTCGTTGGGGCCCAAGCATCAACCACAGGTCCATAGGTCTAATAGGTGGTTTAGTTGTTGATCCTTAGGCGCAGGTTCTCTTTTGGTAGCACCCAGGCCTGACCTTCCAAAATAGAATCGCCCAAGTGAAGAAGCCCCAAATTGTGCAGCTTTTTGCTGTAGACACCGTCAGCCAATCCCATCACAACTGGCCTGGCGGCCAGGCAAAGTACCACAGGGACATCATTCCATTTTATCTTTCCACCCAACCAACCTGCAACCTCAGTAGGTTGGAGGCCATTGCTTCTAGGTGCCCTGCAGACTTCACGATGATGCCGCAGGTGCTGAATGCCTCCCACCACCGGAGAGCGCCACCGCACTCCTGGCGGCGGCGCCGGCCGCGGCGGCGCAGCTAGCTGCAGCGGAGAGGCAGCCGCTGCCGGAGGAGGTGAAATGGACCACGTCGCGAAAGATCAGAGTTTCAAGCATCAGAACTGGTAGAAACACGTGGTGACCAACAAAACCAAAGCAGGCATCTGAAAAGACTAGATCATGCAGTTCATGTTCACCATCACGTGGAACCATTCTTTAACATGTCTGAATTCAAAAAGGGTTGGGCCGCTGAGTGCCCCAGATATGGTCAAGCATCAAAAAGCGCATATGACTCATATGCCCCTTCGCGATCGCACCCGTTTGAGTGCAAAAAAGCTTCAAGTCATTGTCCACACCTGGCTGGTTTCGTGGGTTTGGCCTTAAGTTCTCATAGGAAAACACCCTTCTACTGTCCCATTCCTTGTCGTTCTAGCTAAGGCTAGCTGGCTTCATAGTACATCAGTGGGGCTATCATTCATCGTTTGATCTGTGAACCGGTGACAACCAATCGTTTTGATCCCCGATATGATTCGATGAGCCCTTGCCCTTCAATCAGGCGAATCCTTCAATTAGACGAATCCTTCATGTTTTTCGATGTGCTCGTCTTCTCCTCGCCACGACTTCCTCCGCAGGACTTGGAGGATCCGCCCTTGCCCTTCGACAGTGCCTGCAGCCGCTGCGAGGTGCGGGAAGGCCGCTGCGAGCCGCGGAGATGGGGTCGAAAAGGTGTCGGAGGTCCACGCAATGAAACACAAAAGAAATGCGATGATACGAAGTTGGTGCAGCAAAAGTGCAACACCGGGGTGGGATTTGGATGGATTTGGGTTCAGCCAAGCAACTTTGGGGAGGGTCTCTTTGCCCATTCATGTTCCGGACTTTCAGGGATTCGTTTCCTTGCCACGCAGTTTTTACGAAGAGGATGAATGAGGGCAAGCAGTCGGTTTTTCCAACGCTTGACGGTTGAAGCTCAGAGCACCACCAGGGGTGTCACCTACGGGTTGGTCATGGAAGATCCCAACTTTAGAGCTTGTCAACTTGGCTCACGGAAGGATGGTGACAAGAAAAAGGACAGCCATGGACAGCCAGGGTGAGTCTAGCCTTCGCACCCTGAGCATGCCTTGGACTGATTTCAAGAAGATCTATAGAGCTGTTCCCAAGCACCGATCTTTTGGCTTTACACCGTTTTACGACACACCTTGATTTCCAGACGGTCGAAAGAGCAGAAGCCAGAGAATGGAGAGATCCTCTTCAAAGGACACTGTGGCCGGTTGGAGCTCAAGAAGGTAGGAGTATGTAGGAGTCATTTTCCTGAACATCGAGTTGCACCTGGAACTGTTCTGAACCTGCAGAATCACAGGTGAGGGAGAACATGTCTTCTTTTTCCATGGCCGAAGATGAACAAAAAAGCATCGGTTCCAGGAGTTTTGCTTCAAACCTTCCAGGCGTTGGTAAGCATGTTTAAAGCGAAGTCAAGCGGGGCTCCGGTCATCACCTCCCGCTCAGACCGTGATTTGGTGGCGATTGCCCCGACGGGCTCGGGGAAGACGCCGGGGGGCCTCGGACTCGTCGGGCCAGGTGGACTTCTTGGTGGGAAGCAGGTGGAACATGGTTCCAGAATTTCAAGAAACAGGTTGTTCCTCATAGCTTGTCTTGATGCTACAGGCCCTTCAATTCAAAGCTGAGCACCTGGACCCGCCTTTGGTTCACGGCATCCCCCCCAGTGTTCAGGGGAGGTGCCCCCAACTGTGCCCTACTGCGCCATACTGGGCATGTCATGGAGAAGCTTCCGAGAAGAAGTCCGTTACTTGCACGTGGGTCCCTGTGGGGCCACCTCTCTGGTGAAGGGCTATGAAAGGACTCACTGAGCCCTTTGTGAGCGCCACATCCACTGTTAGGAGCTACTAGTAGCTTCGTGCTACTAGTAGTAATGGCTTCCAACCTAATAGCGATGGCCTCCACCCTAGTAGTAATGCCAGAAGCTATTAGTAGCTGGGAGGCAGGTTCTAATATATTCGCCTGTCATCTACCAAGCTTTGAGGTTGGCATATTTGCTGCCTTTGCTTGCGGACGGTTTGTGCAAAGACTGAACCTCAGCCCGTCAGCAGCTAGCTGCGTCTAGCAGAGGTTAGTCGTGGTTACTTGTGTAGTTTTAGTGAATGTGCATATGGCCCCATCCTTAGGTAGCAGTTTTTGACTAGTTTGGTTTTAAAGCTGAGGGATGCCAACTGCAGCATGCTGCAATCTGCAGGCCAAACCTTCACATCACAAAGGTGAGTCAATCTAAAACTACTTATCCACAGAGTCCCAGAACACCCTCCAGACCCAATCGCATCTTCAAAAAGACGTCGCCCAAGTCCCAGTGGCGTTACCCAGGCGCTTTGCCCTCCGGCCGTTGGCCTTGACGCCATCTTCAGACGCTTCCAGGGCCTCTATCCCAGGCGGGGTGAAACATGCTACTAGTAGCGATCTCAGGAGTTACCAGTAGCGTCCTTGCTCCTAGTAGCGATGCCAGGAGCACACTGCGGAATCCGGGTGACAGATCTGTGGAGCAAACCCTGTGTTGTGCACGGTGTTCTTTTGGACAAATCTTCAGACTCGATCACCACCTGGAAAGTCCCCAAGGAAGAGGAAAACGCTTGGGATGCCCATCGCCAGCCGCAGCAAATGGATTTGGGAAGCAGATCTAGTGTTCACAAAGCAGATGGCCCTGCTCCAGAATCGCAGTAGGTGGCCTGTGAAATTTCGAGGAGGAGGACCCAGGGTTGCAGCAGCTCTGCATGCAATGCACTCCGCAGGTCCTTCGAAGCTGGCCGTGGCAGGCGTGGGGTCCCATCGCTGGTGGAGCTCAAAGGACTGCGAGCAGTGGGTCCCTGGCCTTCCGAGTCGGACGAGTCGTTTCTTGTGGCCCAATGGGAGCAGCACCATCTCTCATCCTCCCTCGATCCCGGTATGATATATATGACAGGTCTTTGGTGCAGTGTCCAATGATGGGAGCTCGTAGCTCAACAGTTTCGTTGCCGGTCCTGCCGTCCGCACGTGCAGCAACGACACCATCATGGAGCGCCTCTCCAAAGCCTTCGCCGCGCGAAAGACCGCTGAAGTGACCAAGGCACGTGCAGAGTGTACCACGCAAAGATGACGCATCCAATGGGATTTGGTGTGCAGTGTATACTTTTGGATGGGTGGAAGCCACCTGATGTTGAAGGGTTTCAGTGAAAAGGTTGGGCATAGACACCCAAGCATGGATGGCCAGCTATCAGATGATTTTTTTGTATTCCTGACATTACGCACTGCTTCTATCAACAAACGCTGCTTATTTTCTCCAAGTACCTGAAAAACAATTGCATGGCTTGGCATGGAAAACTGGAGTGGGAACAAATCCCCCCCCACTCACACGCAAGACCAAAAATTGAAGCAATTCAAGGACTGTATGCAAGTCTCAGAGGTGGGAGTGCTTATCACCTTGAGGAAAACTATTCATTTTCATAGAGCGACGTCAGATAAAATAATAGGATTGAAACTTGAAACACCTAGAATTGAATATCCTAAAGGCACTGAATTCCCACAACTGCCGGCGTATCCGGGCGATGAAAGAAACCGGAGCACTTGAGCCGGGTGTCACACACACCCCGAGCCGCTCGTCGCCGTCTTTGGCGGTAGGTCATTAAACAAGTGGCCAAGAAAGCGGCCGAAGGTGACAAAGACAAGGCTGCAGCCGCATCGATAGTCCACTACAGCAATCGCACAATACGCGCTTGAGGCTTGCAGAAGTTGAACCCGGTCGGTACATCTTGTTTTGGGCAGTGCCGAAGTTACCGGTACGGACATCATCGACATCCAACAAAACATTTCCAGACAAATTTGGGGAGGAACAGCTTTCATTGGAGGCATGGTTGTGGGATTGCAGAGCTCATGGGATTGCTATGCCAGAAGCTTTTCATGAGTGGCTTGGTTGGCACGAAACTTCCGCGACCTGACGGAAGAAATGCCACTATGACATACTCTGACTCTGAAAAGCCTGCACGACCATCCCTCCCAGGCATTGAGGGAAAAGTGGTCGAAGTTGCTGGAAGACTTAGACGCAGAAGGCCAGCCAAGGGTGGACTGGGCGCTAGCGACGACCGTTGGCAGCGCGACGTTGTGGGAGTTAGGCCCAGCTGCTAACCTTGCTTCTCTTCATGTCCTTTCTAGCCTAGTAGCTTCTTGTTCCTAGTAGCGACCTTTGGACCTTGCCAGCCGGGGTCCAATGGTCCAAGCCCCACGAAACCGATCCAAAATTTCGAGAGTCCAATCATATCCAATCATCCGTGCTGTCGAAGAAAACTTGGTCCAAATCTATGTGTGAATTCGATTTATTCTTCACATGTAATTGTATGATTTTTGTGAATGATTTGCTACAAACTCGTTTTTCCGAGTTCTTCAACTTCAGGCGCCCCACCTACAGCCGGTGTCAGAAGGCTTTTGCCATTAGGTCAGCCTAGAGCATCCGATTTCTATTGAAGGGTTCCTGTTGTATCGTTTTGCTTGTTAGTGAATCGGATGTGGGACCATCCATATGCTGACAGATCAAGGCCTTGCCCTTGTCTCCTTACTAACCTCTGACTCACTCACATGGAAGGGGAAAAGCCCGTGTTTTGTAGAGGACAGTAGTCTTCCAGGGTCCCATTTTCCACTTCCATGTTAGTCAGTCAGAGTGTACGTTTTTGGTTCAGTGAGGCAGCCAGCATTTCACCTCACTTGTTACAGCCAGTACTTCCTGAGGCCGGCTGCGGCCATCCGGGCACGGGAGCCTGATTTGCACTTGACTAGGAGTGGGTCACAGTGGGTTGCGATCATAATACGTCGGACGCCTAGGATGGCCACTGGCAACTACTGACACATCATGGCCCTGGGATGCAACAACCTTTGCCGACCACAAGCCACATCACAGGCCTCGCGGTGGCAAGACATCAAAAGGTAACAAATGTAGGTGCCAAGAGGCTCTCCACCCACCTCAAGCTCCATGAACACAATCGACAACCCCAAATCCTGAGAATTTGTTCCCCCACTTCGTGCCTTAGAAGAAACCAAACAAGAAATGCAAATGTGCTGTCCAAGTACATCTCGAGACTGCCATAGGCGACCGTTGCATGAGGATGTTTCAGAAAACTTGGCTTTGGCCACGTGACTTGAGGCTCGTGCTTGCTCCAAGCCGCGAGTTGGCGCAGCAAGTGGGGCAGGTGTGCGGGTAGCAGCCCAGGAATCCCAAAATATCCGAGCCGCAAAGGTTGATATTCCAAGAGCTGATCAGTCGCACCTCGTACATCAGCAGCTTCTTCTACCCATTGCACCTAGTATGTGGCAAGATGAGCAGTCAGTTGCATATGACTTGTTATGGGGCCAAGTTTGTTCTTAGTTCAGGACAAGAATATGGAATTTCTTTCCGTAAGAAGACAGGAAAGAGACAATTGAACTACAGTACACGCCTACAGACTATGCTTTCCAACCAGTCCTTTTCACGCCTACCTATGCTGTTGCCTCGTGAGAGGTGGCAAGGGACTTGGGCTGCGCAGCAAAAGTGATTCTGGGCGGCGTGGACCATGAGAGGCGTCGTTTGCGGCGATGTGTTCGTCCGATCGCTCCTAGTAGCAATGCCAGGATCCCCTAGTAGCTTCGTGTTCCTAGCAGTAAGGCCAGGAGCCCCTAGTAGCGGCTTAGTAGCGTCCTTGCTCCTAGTATCGATGCCCTTTGTTCAATTCCTAGTTGTGTTTTGTATGGACATGAGACATGATGGGTGCCGTACTTCTATGAGGCATGAGACAAAAGGTTTCAATGGCAATTGCATTTCTATGAGTGCATTCTTTTCCCTGGACTTGCACGCACCAAGCACCACTCAGCTTGTTGTGGTTTTTTCTTTGCTTCAAGGTTCTTCTTCTTTATATAGCTACTGCTAAACATTGAATTTGTTGGTCTGGTGAATGAGAACAGTTGGCGATCACTCCATGCAGGGCGTGGATTCACACACAAATGACTGCTTATGTCTTATAACTTATGTGTTTGCCACCACCCTTTGGGCACGAGACCCAACGACTTCTCGGGACTTGGGCAGATGTAGATGTCGACATGCGAAGTAGACATGCTCATCCCATCATATCCGGTCATTCTCATCGGCACCACGTCATGCGGCACCGCCCATGACGTGGTTGGACCTCGGTCTCCAAATTTCTCGATCTCCTCTGAAAAGATCTCGTCTCAGGCAGCGGGAGCAGCTCAAGAACGAGCGGCCCTCATTGCTGGCCGTGGAGCTCAAGTGGAACCGGTTGTACCTACAATAATGTGCTTCGGGCGTCAATCATGGTCAACCTGCAGTTTGGTCCCCCAAAAGTGGACTCCGATCTTCTCGGCGAGTCTACTGCAGAGGTCTCAAACACCTAAATTCAGAAGATTTTTGGTCGAAGTCCATCACTGAAAAGATGCAAGTCTTTTGCGTGAGAAGGTTGCAAGTTGCTGACGGAGCCAGGCTTCTGGCAGTTGAATTTACAGGGCAATCATTTTCCACTTAAACCATCCTACCATATGCTACTGGCCACCATCAGCCGGCTTGGGCTCATCCAGCCTGGCTGTTGCACGGATGTTCGGAGTTGATTCAACGAAAGGAATTCTCCCTTAATGAGCCTTTCCACGTTTTCCAAGCCACACCCATCCACCAGTTGGTCCAGAAAAACCATGTGGTTTCAATAAGTTTCAATACAAATCGCAGCCTTGTGGGCTTTGGATGCTGAGCCGGACCTGAATGGAAAGATCACGGTGAAAGCAGTTGAAAGGGCGTGTTGTTTTCAAGGTTCGTGAATGGATGTGTATGAGCTGCTCGTATGAGCCTTGACGTGGCACTAATTCACCGCACCTTTCGGTTGGATTCCCAGCGGTCGGAGTGATTCGTTCGGCAAGGGGGCTCTGAACGGTTTGGAGGTGTCTTATGGAGTGGCCTGACCCAAGCACAGCAGCACCGAACAGAAAAAGTGAGATGAGGCTAAACCGATGTGCTGACAAAACAGTTTGACCAAACCAGCCGGACTGGCTGCACGCCATGTCGCTACAGCAGATTTGGGCGAATGGGGTGGATTGCTGGATCGAACCCTTCGGCTTACCTGGCTGCATCTACATGCGGCCGACGGATCCGCAGGCCAGGTCAAATACATCACATGCTTTTGCCATCGTGTTCATCACCTTTCCGAATTGGGCGGCCTTTTGTGAATTGGGCAGGCTTCCGTGGTTGCGGCTATGCCTCCGCCATTTCGAGACACCTGGACCGCAGCAGAATCCGAATACGTCCAGTCCCGTTGTCCGACTGATTGGGCCCTGGATCTGCCCCCCCCTCAGCGGAAGCGTGTGTCTCAAACCTGATTGATTAGGCCGCTAAAAATACCTCCTTTGGAACTGGGATGGAGTGAATTTTCTTCCCCGATGAGTCCAGTCGGCCGGGCCGCGCTGACAACTCCAGCTGTAAGAGCTACTGACAGAACAAGTCCAGCCCCGGAAAGATGACAGACATCAAAAGACCTGACGTCAGACATTCGTCAGACCATCAAACCAAGTAATTACTGTGATGGTGATGTATCGTCATCGTCCTCACCATCTGCATCCTGATTGATAGTGATATTATGAACAATAAGCTACGAATGGGGCTCCTGGCCCTACTAGTAACAAGGGCATCGCTACTAGGGTTTCTACTGCGTAGCAGTCCGACACCGATCCTTGCTGCGCCGGCCTGCGCCGGTCGCGTCGTCAGGATCTTTGGCCACGGGATCCGCTGCAGGTCTTCGCCTTGACCTCCACCGATCCCATGGGCCAACCGTGGCGTGGAGCAAGCGAGCAAGGGAGGAGCAGGCATTAGACCGAGCACCTCTAAGAGAATCCCACTTTGGAGTGGGGAAATGGGGTGCTTTCACATCGGATGTATGTGGGTAATGTAGCCAATATGGGCCAATATGCAGGCTCTTGATAAATAACAACCTTCCATATGACGTATGAGGAAGTCTTATAATCCAAGGAGTGTTTTTTCCAATTCTAGAGTCTACATTCAGGAAGTACTTTCATGGGGTCACTCCTCACGACTCCATGTGTAAGTTTCGTTTTTGGGCGGATATATCGTAGGCCTGTTGAAGATGCTTGCATTGGTCTCATACGACTCAGGGGTTTGATCAGCTGGTGAATGGGTGAGTGATGACCTGACCCTGAAGGTCTGTAGTATGACCATTGGTGACTTGTTGGAGGGTTCCTTGGAATGTAAACAGGCGTCAGGCGTATTGGTTTGAGAATGCTTGAGAGCTCACCTCTTCTGATGATGGTGATGGCTGTTTGTGGCAGAAATGGCCAAGATGGTGACGCCAGACCGCAGCAGTGCAGCAAACCAAATGCCAAGGCAGTCGGCGGAGGCGAATATGATGGCCTTGCGGCAGCTGGAGAAGGAGTTGCAAGAGCTTTGCCGAGGTAGGGGCAGGGGGTGCTGTTCCAGAATGTTCCAGATATATGGAAAGAGCGAGGCTTATTCATGTTTATTCTATGTTTATTCTTTGAATTTCTAAAATGCCCTATATAAAGTGAGTACCCTGATGTAACATGATGTAACCTGTCTCTTATTTGATTCAATGCTTGCCACCTGCATGCCCTTTTCGCGTCAGTCCACTCCAGCCTTCTTCCGCTCGCGAAATGACCGGGACAGTGGGACTCTTCTTCTCGGACTGCACTAGCCAGCTGAGCGTGGCACTGAGGCCAGGTGGGCAAGAGCTTTTGGAGGAGCTTCGGCTTCCACATCCAGGAGTTGGATTTGACGTGGGCGGCTCACGTGGGTGGTATACGGTATACAGGGAATTGGTGGCCAAGGCTGAGCCCTTGAAGAATTCTCCAGGTGTGTCGATAGTCCAGGTGTGCCTTCACTTTTTGAAGTCCTTCGACTGTTCCTGCTCCCACCTGCGGAGGAGGGATGGAGGGAAGATGGCTTCACCCTGGTGGCTGAGGCCACTGCGGGAAGACAGCACAGTTTTGGCGGTGAAGGGGGTCTTTGCGGTAAGCATGTTCCAAGATTGCCTGTTCAGCTTCAGCTTCTTGGTGATTGTGGCTTTCTGTAAGGGTTGAAGTTGATTTTTTCTGAGGTAAGCACGTTAATTTGGCAAGAGTTTGGTTGTTATGTAGCTATGCCTTTTGTGTCGTTCTGCTACATGTGGCTTCGTTTTCACCGGTCTCGTGTGGCTTCGCACACCAAATGGACCAAATGGGGCTAAGTCACTTGGCTTCAAGCGACCGGTTTCTCAGACGATTTCTGAGGTCGTAGGTGAACATGCCTTGTGCAGTCCGAGCTGCTCCGGCGATTTGTGCAGTCGGAGTGACATGCGAAACTTGTTTGGAGAACTTGGGAGCGCCACAAATACTCCTTGCAATGGTTTGTGAGGATGTAGGGGTTCCCCAGGCGCGCTCATATGGCAAGATTAGCCTTCGCAAAGGGTTTAACGATCATCGTCGAAAAGTGGCTTAAGAGCGCCCACACGTTCGTGACGATCTGGAAGTCAATGGCGCGAGAGGCACGGGTGGCTGAGCAGAAGGGCGGATGGAAGATGCAAAAGGAATTGGTTGACCCTGCAGACCAAAACATTGCGCAACTTGATGCAGAGAATCAAAAGTACAAAGCAGAAGCCACCCCGGCGAAAAGCATGTTTGTGATACCGGTTCGCGTGAGGGAAGGCGCTTCTACTTCGTCTAGAGGAGGCCCATACGGACATATCAAAAATGGACAAGGCTGCTTTGACTGAGGACCAGAAAAGTCAGCAAGAAACTCATAAGGAGAAGCAGCTGGCGATGCAGAAGCAGCATGAAAAAGAAAATCAAGAGCTAATGGAAAGGTGCGAGGAAAGCGAGAAGGCATGTGCCAGAGAAAAAGGTGAGAAAGAGCAGCTGAGCTTGCAGAATAAGCTCTTAAAAGGTAACAAGGCCTGTCTAAGCTATCACATGAGCAGGGAGCAGGTCCGCAGCAATTTCAAAACTTGATTGCCTCCAAATACAAGATGGCTGCCTGGCATGTTTCATTTGGCAATTCCGCTGATGAGGACGTACCTGTTCCAGCCATGGCTCGCCCGATTTTGATAGTATTCGTTCCATCAAGAATTCACCCAATCCTGTGCAGCCAGCAATGCATTTCCGAGCGCACAAGATTTTCCATACGCCCGGGGTGCAAATGACGGCGTTCCTTTGTAAGAGAAGAAGTCACAATCGCAGGTCGACCCTTTGATTTGGCAAGCACTTGCAGCTGTTACTTCGCACAACCCCACCAAGATTGGACAAATCAGACACCTTGGGCAGGTACGAGGCCAAGGGGCCTTCAATAGAACCTTAGGCAAAGAATCAGAAATGAACTTTAGGAAGATCTGTCCTGAATGCATTTTTGGGTGCAACTGACGCTCTGATGGTTGGTTGGGAGGTCCTCAGGCTGGCCCCATCAACCAGACATGTCTTCGGAGCCTGCCTTTTGAGATGATTCCTGTGTCAGAAGAAGAGCATGCCACTAAGGTTGGGCATCAAGCAAAGGGCGTCAAAGCAAAGTTGGCTGTGATAAATGCACTCCAGGTTCAGACCGGGTTTCGGAACCAGGTTTCAGATCCCTTCTTTTTCCGCTTCATGATGAAGCGCACCAATCGCGCACGTGCCGCACCACTGACTCTTGGAGCTGAGATGACCTGTGAGGCTTCGGAAGCGATGATGCTGGCCAGTAGGCTGGATGTCTTTTCTTCTCAGGCAAATGGTCGAATTGATATACAGTAGACCTGTGGCACAAACGACCATACAACAGATACAATTGCCAAATGCCATGTTTCAAGCATACACTGCCAGTCCAAGACATGCATCAGACCGTGCGTTGCCTCTTTACCCAGCACGCAGTCATCCATGCGTCCAAGATATTGTGCAGAGGGTTTGCTTTGTCCAAGTCTCCTGCATCCAAGAGTTGCTAATGTGATATGTCCAACACAGTATCCTACCTTGCTGGTCATCAAATTGCAACTGTTGACATCGCTTGCAAGGCACCGTCAGGGGGCAATCTACCACTTTGAACTAAATGACAGCGGTTGGTTTCGGAGGAGAGCGAGCCAAGTAAACGACATGGACTTCCCCGAGCTGCTTCCAAGCGCCCTTGCTCCTAGTAGCGATGCCCTTTGCTCCTAGTAGCTTCTTGCTACGTAGTAATGCCCTTGTTACTAGTAGCGGGTGCCCACACTAGCGTACCATCTTTTGTAAGATGGCCGACCATCCCCGCAATTAGCTTCACTTCTCAATCGATTTTGGGCCCGCTTAGATGAGCATATAGGGGAATCGCAGGTGGAAAGAGGCAAACCCTTAAATGCAACAATTGGCATGGCGGAATGACAGAACCAGCCGCGTTCGACGTTGCCAGACACGTGAGGAGGACGGTGCCCGTTTGCCTCCCAGACACCGATGCAGATGTCGTCACCTGCCTCTGCGAGATGCCAGAGACACCGCTGGCAGATCCTAACACCTGGGGAGCTGAAAAAGTCACGCCACTTTGCGTGCGCGGCCCGCGGCCTTTTGTTTTGTTTTGTTTTGTTTACTCACTCTTGCTGACTTATGTAGGCGCCTACTCAATTAAGAGCTAAGTAGGCTACTATCTACTGCACGCGGGATAGCTCATGCATCTTGAAGGAAGCCCCCCTTTTTGCCCTAAAGGCGGCAGGGGAAGCTTCCTATTAATTTAGTTCTTAGATGTTTTGGAAAATCAAGATGAGATCGCGTGAAGTGCGACATCGTGTCGTCGCTTGGACCAGGACCAGCGACAAGCTGTGAAAGCTACGGTCACAGAGTGAACTTCCCAGAAAGGTGGTGGAAATCCTAATAGCAAACCTTGTTACTACTAGTAAGGCACTTGTTCCTAGTAGCGATGCACTTGTTACTAGTAGCTTCTTGTTACTAGTAATACTGCACTCAAGCCAATTTTCAGACAATGGCTTCACATCACCGTGCTGCGCTGCCATTCAATGCCTTTCTTCGCCTTTCGTTCGAAAACATGTATCTTTCTGAGGACCTTCCCAACACGCTTTCCCTCCCTCCCCAGAACCGCCGCTCTTCACATGAGGTCGCCACGCCCGGCCGGCTCCGTGCGCTGTGCCGGGGGACCCTGTGGTTTTTCCCCAAGTGTAGGCGACGTGTTTAATTGTTTTTACTTCAACAGGGTGGACGAGGTGCCGGTTTGTGCGCTTGGGGTGTGTAGTGGCGTAATTCTTGGTTTGAATGACCTTGAGTTCATATTGAATGGCAAACAGGGTTTTTTTTGGGTCTTGCACTGCATGAGTGCATGAGTCGGTCCGTTTCAGCACTGCTGGTACGACGGTCGCTTCCTACAACTTGAATATTCAACGCACCTGCGTTTTCTTGGACAAGGTGAGGCGTCATTGCCTTGGTTAAACAGGATCAAAGACAGTGAAGACAACATAAGAACATAAGACAACACCGTTCTGGTTGGCTTGTGGCTGTAATTAGCTTTTCATATTGAGTGCCATTGCGACATTTTGGCCGCCGGTGCCAGGATGGATGCGTGATTTATTCATTAAGAACGTCGGACACACCCTGTGCAAGCCGCATTGGCAACATCCTGATACCAAACAAACATGAGTTGCTATGGCGCATCCTCCTCAGCCGCCTCATCAGCCTCATCAGCCACAAGCATCAGCAAACCTATGGCATTATGGTCCCTTCCTGTCCTCTCTGGGTTCCTCATGGTCCTTCCGCCTCCCTGGTCGCCAGGTGGTCAACTCTCGGCTTCCGCCGCCGCGCGGGCCCAAAGTGCCGCGGCTGCATCGGTCCGGACGGGACGGAGAGTCCGCAATGGAGACTCCACTGTGTGCGTCCGGTAGGAGGGGTGGCAGTCCAATAGGAGGAGAGTGGGAGGGAAAAAAGGAATGCGTCTTTGTATGTGATTGTGTGTGTTTTGGACCTCATATGACCCATGTGAAGGGAGACATCTCAGATGCAGCTCATGTAGGTGTTGTTTTCTTTGGAACAATTGATCACAAAAGGCTTCACGACGAAGACCATGAGGCCCAATTGCTTCTAGTGGTTCTAGTGTCTAAGCATTCTTTAAACGATGTCCAGGAAGAGTGATCACCAAGCCGAGTAAGTATAGATTCAGACTCTTTGGCAAGGCGGATGGACTGGACAGTGTAGCTTGGCGTCACTGGTGTTTTCTCATGTCTATTCTGAGGTGAAGGCCGGCAGGCCCTGGGAGTGATCGTGGGTGTTGCTGCGGATTCTTGCGTGTGTTCTTAAGATAGACGGATTGGATGGACAGATAGGTGGCCAAACCACCACAACAGGTGCTTTTTTGCATGGTGTCCTGTCTACTTTGGTATTGGTCACAATGGATGACGCTTGATTGGACCCGAAGTAAGCTATGGCCAGCCAGACCGGACCTGTTCCAAATCTTGAGAGCGAGTCAGGAGGCCTTCAGGCGGTGCTGGTGTGTCACTGGAAAGTGGCAAAAGATGACTTCCTCCAGAAAGACTTGCATGTCACTTTCAGCCTGTGGTGGTCAAAAGTGGTTTGGGTCACCGACAATCAATTCCGGGGAAGGTTCATACATGCGGCATTGGCTCCACCGATCATTGAAGGAGATGAAGCAATTGGGATCACACTCTTTGTGCACATTTACCTTGCTTATTGAAGCTTATTGGGACCCTGGACTTTGCATGTGCAAGTTGACAAGGGCTGCAAGCAGTCACGCAGCCCAAGCAGCACTTGGCTATATTGCCTTGAGCACCTAGCCTAGAACCCCTCAAATGTGGTCAGGTGTGTGGAATTCGGCGGCGGACAGCAAAAGAGATACCAGGGGCAACCGGCAGATCGGCCAGAATGAAGCACTTCCATTGTACATTTTGTTTAGGGAGTGTATACACCCGTGCTAACCCGTGCTTCCAACAACCCCATCACAACAGACCAGCTTGGGAGAAAATTAGAATGGTTCATGATTAGGCTTGTTGATGGTTACCGCGTTTCAGTTTCGTTGCCGTTTCCACGAGTTTGTCCAAAGAAGTCCATGATACATCTCCCTCCAGACTATTGCGAGGTTTGACCGGGATACAGGTCCACCAGCGATGCATCCACCTGGAACAAAGCTGCTTTATCCATACTTCATTACATAATTTGCCGCTACTTTCTTGAACTGCTTGAGGGGTTTTTGATGTGTTTCTTTCTTGACCGATTTGCTCTTGCCCGCAGTATGCACAGGGCTCGGGCATGGAGTGCACGGGCGAGCGCAAGTTGTGTCGGAGCTTCTTTTCCACCCTTTTTCTGACAGGAGAAGCACCCACAGGCTCTACTGTCCTTGGGCGCGGGGACGCCTAGATGTGTGCTGGACCAGAGAACATGAAGAGGCTTGGACCCGAGTTGCACTGTTGAAGGACACCAGGTGTTTTAAGGAAATATGCTTATTGAATAGAAGTTCGGAAGCGGATTTGTTGTCACACATATGATAACGCACTGGCAATATGTTAAACTTGATCAGGTCGGTTGCCCAACGATTCTTCTTGTCACTTTCCCAGCGGTTATATACTGGTCCGCACGGATGAGGTGGTGCTACGCCTGGTGCTGGACGAGGGGGATCGACTCATCGATGAAGGCTTCGAAGAGGAGATCAAGCAAGTCGCTGAATGACCGCAGTCAGATCATTGTTCAAACTAATTCCGGATGGCAGATCTCCCTACATGCCCCCCCACATCCGCAAAGGATGTGATTTTGACAACCCCTCCTTTGCTGGACATGTTGCCGCAGACGCAAGACGCCAGTTTCCACTATGCCTCGTGATCCGCCCTTTCGGCTCTCAGCCTCGCGATTTTAGCCGATTTCGCCAATTTTTGCGAGTCAACTCTTGAAGTAGTCTAAGGCTCAGTGGTGAGGAACTGCCTCACCTGCATGAGCACGTTCATAAGCCGCCTGCGTAAGCTTTACGCAGCACTGCGGCGCACTGCTGCGGCACTCAGGCATCATGCCAAAGAACAAGCTTGGAGGAAACAAGGCCAAGCGTGCGAAGGCGGGATGGCGACATTCTTTCCAAAGGCTGAAAAGGAAGTCAGTCCATGTGCGTCTATCGGTGGGTGGACTTTGCAGCTAGGTGAACACTTAGGTGAACTTGCGGAGTGCATCTGGTATATAGAAAATATACACTCGAACTTTGGGTCCAGATATTGTTCATCGATGTAACTGTGTTTCCCTGGTCCTTGAAGATATGAAGACATATGAAGACTATGGTTTGGTTCAGAAGTCTCAGGCGGACAGAAACGGCACAAGGTAGGAAGATAGACCTTGTGAGTGGGTCAAGTGCCCGAAGTTAAACACCTTGTATGAATGCTCAGACAGTGTCAAAAGCGCATGCTTGAACTCATTTTTGGGTTTGCGTGTGGCGTTGTTTTGAAGAGGAGGGCAGTGGCAGTGGAACTACATATCGTCCACAATTTGAGTCTGCTTTGCGAAACCTGAAGATGCAAAGAGCAGCACCTTGGGGTTTGAGCGCGCTGCCTTTCGTTGCCAGGCCAGCACCGAGAACAACAAGAAGGAGCTGGAATTCAAGGAAGATGGTCAGGACTCGGATTCGTTGGATCTTCCAAGCGCATCTCTCGAGTACTCGCTTCCCCCTCTCCCGCGACGCTCCGAAGAATCCTTGTAGTGGCAGTGCTGCTAAGATAGGTCAAGAGAGACAGATGTCAAAAACCCAGGAGCAGCACGAACTCCAAAATCGTGTGAAGAATCGGTGTACGGTTCAGGCTGCATGCTGCCCAATGAATGAGGGCAGCTCAAACTCACTCCCACTCCAAAGCCACTGTTGATGCGAAAGAGCTCCTTGGGGAAGAGGCCTTTCAGAGGCCCGTCCTAACACCTAACCGGTGCCAGGAGTATGGTCAGATCACCCGAATGTTGGGCAACGGCCGCTGTGACGTGCAATGCGTCGATGGGGTCAAGCGGCACCTTGGCCGCCAAGCGTGTGGACGGTCGAAAGCACAACTCAGGCTCAGCAGACCAGTCTGATGGAGCGACAGTCAAACACGACTCCAGTACTCAATCTGTTTGAGACTCAATCTGTTCTCGACCTGTTCACTGCTTGACCTAGCCACCTAGCCGTGGCGTTTCTTTTCGATGTTGCCGCGAGTGCGGCACCGAAACATGACCGGCCTTGAGTCGCCGCGCAGGTTGTGCCACATTCGCGGCGACTCGGGAGCAGATGGTTGGAGATGGATCGGGATGGGGAATGGGAGTAGATATGAGATGGAAGTGACTCGAAATCCTAGCAGAAAAATTGAATGATGCATGGTTTGTTCAGGAGCTTCGATCTGCAGAACTAGCCAGGTAGGTGGAGCTGGTAGCCGTTTCCGCGCTTTGCAATGGGGTTGCATGGTCGCCTGAGGTAACTCCAGAGACTGGCCTGTGCACTAGGAAGTATTTTGATCCAGGTCTTAGTCACCGGCACTGTGAAAGGATGCAACATGTATGCGAACAGAAGGGGCGGCTAGATGTTCTCATGTTTTCTGTCTTTCCGGGCGAGTGGCAAAGGATCTTCCTCCTCAAAAAAATTCGCCAGACGGAATGCCAAGCCCGAAACCGCCGGACCGTGACTGCCAAGGTAAGATGAGGAAGAAGGTGTGGTGCAATCAGGGTGACATTGTCCTCGTCTCCCTCCGTGATTTCCAGGCACCAGACACACCCCTCCACTTGGGTTTGGATTTCTGGCGCTCGTGTCAGGTCCCAGGGCAGTGCTTCTTTGATTCTGTTTGGTGTGATGTTGATTTTGATCTCTCGTTTGCTCCCTGCCGGTTTGATTCCTAAAGAAAGGTCAGTCCCTGAAGCAGTGGCCGAAGGTCTTGCACAAGCACACATGAAATCACCGAGCGCACATGTGTCTTGCCGCCCCGCCCACTTGCTTTCTCATCAGCTCACCGCCTCTTCCGTTCAACCCTTCCTCAGGATGAGAAAGGCGACATCATCGTGAAATACACCGCCGAGGAGGCTCGAAGCCTGAAGAATCTCAACGAGCTTCCGGAGAACGTCCCTCGGCCGCACGACAGGTGCCAGCTTCCGGATGCAGGTTCGATGAAGAGCTTAGATCAGTGGTTGGATGGGTTTTTGGATGTTTTTTGGTGTGGTGTGTGGCACTCAGCTCTGGACAGCAAAAATGCCGATCATACCGAATCATACCGTGTGTTTGTTCACTTCGTGGACCTTGGTTTTGTCACACGCACACACTTATCGGCTCTCACTCGGCAGTTGGGTGGCTTGACGGATGTCGAAGATAGTCAGCATGTTGGATATGGCCATACTCCTTGCAAGGAGTTCACCTTCAGGTTCCAAGTGCAACCATTGATGACCCGGATGCATAGGGGGCGTTTGATAGGTTCACTCATTCATGTCTGCTAATCTAAGGCAGACTTGTTGACAACACTCCAAGAACCAAAGGAATTCCAGAACTTCTCCGCCAAGCACTTGTTAAGATCCCACTCAAAATCTCGCCAGGTGAAGATCAATGAGACGGACTTGGGAGGAGAGGACTCCAGCGACGATGGTGTGGAGTTCGACGAGGCACTGGCGCAGCGAGGGTGGTGACCCATGCTACAACCTTGAGTGAGTGGATGAGGGGAACACTGTGAGAGTGAGTTGGTCACTAGAAAGCAAAGAGGTGGATCAAACAGTGGAATCGTTGATAAGACCACACCCAGCAAAGAGTAGTTGAACCCATTCCTCAGGAATGACAAGTGAAACTGCCAGGTGGAGTCGATGTTTTCTGGTTCAAGCGTGGGATCGATCGAGTTGGGCGCTATCTTGGGATCCAAAGAATGCCCTGAATATGGATGTTTTTGGTTTCATCGGGCACGCCTATGGGTTTTCATACCCAGAGACGTCTACAGGCTGCTGGTGTGGATGTGGACAACATCTGAGTGTGGATCTTCCTTCGCTGCCACGCCGATCGTGGGATGCGTGGCCACCAATTGCACAGGGCCACGTGCAGATCGTTCGGGTAGTGTTGCGACCGGGTGGGGCAGGCAAAGAGCAGCAAAGTGTCTCATCATGACAGTGATCTATGTTTTAGCATGTTTTAAAACCTTAGTTATGGCCTTTTAAGACCAACCCTTTGATTGTGAACGGACCGTTTCTTTGGAATGTTGACGTCTGGGCAAAATGTTTTGGTTCGAAAAGGTTCAGGCGGGTCTAGACCGTCTTCCTGCTACATGGGGAGCCAAGAAGCCTACTAGAAGTCTTTTCGGCTAGGACAGTCTTGGACATAAGGACCTTCGGCACATGTGATCGGTGCAACAGAGGTGCTAGGCTGTGAGGTGTATGAAGGCCGTGTTTTTTGCTATGCATCCAGGTATATACATATATATATATATATACAAGAACTGCGCTTGGCAGCCCCTCTTTGCGAACATTGCCGGTCCCTCCACAAGTTCCCTCAGGTCTGGTGTTTTGCTTGAATGGAGTTTGGCAAAGGCCAGGTCATGTGATGTCATGTGCAGACTCTCAGACTTGCAGATGCTGCCAGAGACAGGCATTGAAAGGACAAACAAAGCCCCGCCCGGCAGAATTCGCCTGAGAAGCCCACGTAAGCGCTTCCTTGCGAAGCCAGGGGCACCTTGACCAAGACGAGACGAATCGACTGCAATTCTGCACGCCGCACGAGGGGCGCAATCTTCGGCAGCAACAGTGAAAAGCTGAAGCTGCTGAGAGGATTGTTTTTGGTTTGCCTACTGTGATGCACATTTGCTATTTTGACCTCATCCTTCTCAAACCACAAGAAGGGACCTGCAGGTTCATACCGTACTTGTTCAATCTTGTTCAAGGGGGGGTAACTGACTGACTCTATAGTGTCGTTCGGATTCGCCTCGATCGTTTCAGGGACAGTGACTGACTACGTTTGTGAGGGTCATGCGGCCGACTGGTCCTCGCTCCACTTGACTTTCTCACCTTCCATCTCAGGAAATAGGAAATACCAAGAAATATCCACAGGTTCCAACTTAATGAGTATACCATACCTTAGCAATGAAGACGTGGCCTATTTTTGCCGTAATCGTCCATTATAGCGGAACGTTTTAGCAAGGCATCCGTTCTCATGCCATCCCCCAGTCAGGGTCTTGACCCTCGTGCGACGAGGTCAGGGCGAACCACCGACAAGTCAATGAAGTGGTTTTGTCCGCTCCGCAGTCTCGATCTGGATCCGCGTGAGGTAAAAGAAACGAGGTGCCCGGCACAGCCAGGCGGTGAACATCTTGAAAAAGAACGATGAAAAACCCACGAAGGGACAGAATTGGGGAAGGCTGCTACATTGACTGCGAATGTTGGAACCTCAGGATTGCCTTGGGTGGAAAAAAAGCCTGTACGTTCCAGACTGTTTCAGTAAACCTTGGACCTTCGTCAGGTGGGCCAACAGAAACTCAGGCTACGCGGGTGCTATGTTGATATGGTATAATATGGTATATTGTGCAGTAGGTGCAAGAAGAAGTTCCTCAGTATTTTCTCCGGTGAAACCAGTTTGCAAATCCTCTACTGCAGTTGGATGGCACGGAGGATGTGCATGCAGAAGCTTACAAAATGTTCCAACTCCATCCAAATCCCAATTTCTTGGAAGTAGCTGATTGCCACCAACCCTCGCGGCGACTTCATGTCCTTTGTTGGTTCGGGTGAGAGGGACATTCATCATTCCTTCCGTTCAGAGCGTAGGCTACACCTGCATCGGACCAGCCAGCCAGGTGAAAGGCTAGCACTTCGCAGAGGGGCGGGCAGCCTCGCCTGCGTGCTGTTGGCAGACTCGCCTGGTGGTCCACCTCTGGTGTCGACACCCCTGGTGTGCGAGTAGATCACCACGCCAGGGTCCTGTGAGTCCATGTCCCGTCAGGACATCATGGCATTGGCCTCTTGCTGCTATCGGTTGGGGCGCTCAGAGCTTCCGGTCAAGACATCGTCGCGGGCAGTGCATGGAGGTGGACCGAGTAGAGAAGCTCCTCGAGCTTGGCAACATGACGAAGTAAGAAACGCCAGAGTGTGGTTTTGGCATAAACAACGCGTTGGATTGCCAACATCAGCTATCCAGATTCAACGGGTTGAATATAGCGACGGCCTCCAATCTCTAATAGCAAAAGGAAGCTAATAGGTGTGGCCGCCAACCTACTGGCGATGGCCTCCAACCCACTTCCAACTGCACACATTGCTTTTGAGAGATTTTGAGTATTGATTATTCTTCCCCACAAAGGATTTGACACGGTTCACTGTTGATGGCCAGACCAAGCAAAAAGTAGTCAGATCATTTCAGATCATATCACACAATTCCAGAAGGGACTACTGTGCACACCCACTGTTCAAAAGGGTTGTTCCTTAATACATCTTGATAGTCGTCTCGATAGGTTTGCAAGTTCCCAAGACCTTGAAGTGCAAGCCTTTGGCACCAAAGACAGCAGCCCTTGAAACCTCAAAGAGGAAAAGACAAGTTAGTAACAAGAAGCTACTAGGGGCTCCTGGCCGTACTACTAGGAGCAAGTAGCAACTAGTAACAAAGAAGAGTCAGCCCCCGGGATTTCTGCTTTTCCCAACCTCAGGCGACGCCTCACGCTGCTCTTCTCCGCCACCTGGGGCGCTCAGACGGAGCGGCCAACGACCGGCCCGATGGCCTCCAACCTTGGAAATCTAATTAAATTCTATTTATGTATTGTTTCTACTAGGGCCCAAGGGAGACCGCAGGATTACCTTAGGACCCCAGTACCAAAACGGTACGACTTTTAGGTGCCGCCATAGGGAAGCCATATAGCCCTGCCTGGCATCGCAAACTGAGGGAAAGACGCTCTAAGGCCAGGAAGCTAATCAAAAGCTTCCAAAAATCACCAAGGAACAGCTTGGTGGAAAGGGTCACGAAGGCACTCGACTTGCTGGAAGGTCACCATAGCCAGCCAAGATATAAGATGCCATGGACGACCAACTACGACTATGGCTCATGGGATGCGCAGACTTGGTGGGAAGAACCAAGGGTGAAGAAGGAGAAAGGAAAAGGGAAAGGCCGTGGAAAAGGAAAGGGCACGGCAGTCGAGAAGATGGCAAAGGGCAAGAAGAAAGAAGAGCAGCCCCTCTTGCTTGGCTACGACGGCGCCCCAGTTGCCTTTTCTTCATCGTCTTCCTCGTCTACGGCATCCACAAAGCAGGACAAGATGGAGCCAGGCCTGAAAGAAGACAATTGGAAGCTCAAACAAGCGATTCGTTTTCTCCTGGACAAGGTCGAGACCAAGGAGCCGGTTCCAGAGGAAGTACAAGAGCTTGTACAAGAGGATCCAAGAGAACTTATCCGACAAAAGCAGAAGGCGCTCAACGAAGAGCGCAAGTTGCTCAACAAGTCGGAGAAGCTGCAAGAGAGTATCCGAGAGAAGCAGGAGAAGTTCGCAGCATGGGACCAGTATATTCGTGGTGGACTTCAAACGGAAGCTCAGAGACTCCAGAACGAGATTGCCGAGATGAAGGAGACCATGAAGAAAGAAGAGAAAGACGAAAAGGCAGGCATGGATCTCGATGTGGACAACGAGGACCCGGATGGCTTGAGGGCGGAGATCACTCAGCTGAAACATGGCATGGAGCAGATGATGAACTATACAGCTCAGATGGAATCCAAGAGCAGATGCAACTGCAGATGGCCACTTTGGTCAGTGCAGCGACAGGGTCAAGAATGCCGCAAAGCTTCGGTTTCTCATCGCCGGAGCAAAGGGTCCACACACGTGTACATGGCCTGGCTATGACAGAGGAGCCAGTTCCGAAGAGGGAGAGAACAAGGTCTCCCAAGTCACATATGGCGGAGCCGGTGGAGATCGCAGAGGGCAATTTCAACGCCTTTGTCCAGAAGGAGGTGGAGAAGATGCCAGAGCTTTTGCGCACAGAAGTGTTGCGCAACCTGGAAAGTGCGCCAGATTTATACGATACGCCAGAAGCCTTTCATTAGATGGCTACCATGGTCGACAAGGAATTACAGCAGACGGCCATGCCAGAAGCTGGAGAGTTGAAAGTTCTTCGAGAGATGAGCAAGAGCGATGCTTTGAAGCCTTTCGGGAAATGGCCAAAGCAGAAGGGCCGAGAAGGACCATATGCACTGCCCTTGACGGATGCAAAAGGGTCAGCAATTATGAGCCGACGAAACAGCAAGGAGGATGGCAAGGTGCTGGATCAGTTGTCGGACTAATCCCAGGAAGTACCTCCCCACAAGGTGGTTTTTGCGCCACATTTCAAGGCTGCGATACCTATATGTGGGAGAGGGAAGCAATTCGGAATATTTCTTCAGAAGAGTGGGGCTCTTTTGATGAGAAAGTTGACACTATGTGGAATCGTTGGTTGACTTCGGGTTTCAATGAAGTCAACAACAACCAGTGTCTGGCTAACGGTGATAGCTATGATGACAGTGGGCTGTTGTATTGTTTCGATGATATTTCCCTGAACTACACAACAGGTGGAGGCAGCCGCGGACATCATTTGGTTGGTGTCGGCATTTTCCGTGTATTTGCCTTCAAGAAAGCTTTCATCTTCATGCTGACACCTGCTTGGGCTTTGGCTCTGGCATTTGCAGCTGAAAGAATGCGAAAAGCTATTCTTAATTTGTTCTGCCGAAGGCATAACAGACTCTATGGTTGGCTTCCAGTTGACGACTGGTATGATGTGGGTGGCCTTTGGATCCTTTCTTTGCGCTTGAATTCATACTTATTGGAACTTGGAAGCCATGATGGAGAGGAGCCGCCTGGAGGGTGCTGTGGTGTGCACATCCTACAAATGCTTTTCTGGGGGCAAGTTTTGTGCGTGCTTGTGTGCTGCCTTGCGGCATACTTGAGGCAGCGAAGTGAGCTTTCGCCAAGGTTTCCTTCGAGGGTTCGCAAAGTTGGGGCAGTTCGATGGGCCAGAGGACGCATTGCCAAAACATGGATCTGCCGAAGAGCAGTAATTGCATGTTTTCTCATGATGAACTTGGCACATGCGGATGTTTTTCGACTTGGACATGAAATTGCCCGACATGACCTGTCTAATGCTTTTGAACATGAGCATGTGGGACAGCATAATCCTGACCGCAGTGTCTTGTCTTCGTCATGTGCAAGACATATGCCGACTGGCAATTCTCGATGCCATGATGACGTGCGGGAGGACCCTACCGGCATCAAATTAATTCGTTGATGTTCGGCAGGAGCACCTCTTTGCTCCAGATGGATACCATACTGTCTGTAGAGCGGTGCATAACAATTTTGTCCCATATTTTGGGCAATCTTCTGACACAAGTGATGGGATTGCATCTTTTGGGGATCAATTGATGTTTACCAATGTGAGCTCAGAGGTTGAACAGATCCTCTTTGAGCAAAGGAGTACAGCCTTGCCACGAGCGCAGGCTATCGGCAGAGAGGCAGATGGCAGTTGGGCCACTGCAAAACTCAAGGCCTACCCAGCGGGCCTTTGTAAAGCGCTTGCGGCAGTTTTTCACCATATGCTGCCGCCACCTGGGTTGAAGTCCCACCCTGAGGAGTTCTCTGACTTTGTTCAGAATCTAATGGCTGGATTTGATTTGACCTTGAAGCTAAGCAGGGACCGGACTTCAACCCAGATACTGCGAGGGCAATAGAATTAGGTGCAAAGATGCCACGGAAGAGAGACTTTCTACGGCAATGGAAATGAAAAAATTGTTTCTACTAGCTTCTTGTTACTACTAGTAAGGCACTTGTTCCTAGTAGCGATGGCCATCCGGGTGTAAGTGAACGGTCGAACTGGGTAAGGTCACCTGTCGATGTGTCACATCACCGCTTGCAAAGCGCAGCTTCAGTGCCGGAAAATGCACATGTTTGACATATTTTGACACATCCACATTTTAGTGGTTAGCAGTCAGTGTTTGTGTGCATGGAGACCGTGGACGGAAGTGCTTGCATTTGGTTCAAGGAGGTCTCTACTAACCAGTCTGCGCAACTCTTAGCGCCCCTGGTGCCTCATCTAATCAACAAGTGTCTTTGTGAAGTTCAGAGCCTGCAGTTCATGTTGCTCGCATTTGCAGGAGTTGCTGTCCGTTCTGCTTCAAGATGCCTTGAAGGCTGCCCAGTGTCTTGGAGGGAGGGGTCACACATGTTTTTCTTTGTTGGATTGTGCTAGTGAGGGGCTAAAGTGAGAATGATCCTTACCTCCCATCACATGGGCTTGCGCCTTTTCATGCCTTTTGACTCATTGCTTTGGGCTTAACCACTTTGAATGTGAACAGCTTGCCGAGCGATGGCTGCCCTGGCCCTCGTCTTCGCACACAGAGTGCCAGCGGCGGTCGGACGGCTGCCAGCCAAGCTGGTGTGGGTGTGCACTGAACCGCGATCTTCTCGGACCCATGGCTTGAAAGGGCATAGCGCGACATACACCTCATGCTCCCATTCCTGCGAGCAAAACCAGTTTGGTTCTTTGTTTTTACGCCTCGCGCCGCTCGCATCCTGCTGGTTCAACACACCTAGGGTGTTGGTGCCAGGATATAAGCCTGGATACCCCCCAGTTCAGTGCATTTCAATGAACAAAGACTCATTACATGGTTTTTTCCGAAAGAGTTTTCAAAGCCAAGTGCTTTCACTTTCGGCATGGTTGGGTGACCACGGACAACCCTGTCGAGCGTCCTCTCCAGCTCACCGCTCGCCAGATCACCGTCGCTGGGATTCCTCCAGTGATCTCCCAAGAGGTCGAGCTGATTGCGAAGGCCGAGCTCAGCTCGATCCGAGTGGACGCGGTGACCAGAGTTTGGCCCATGGACGATTACAAAGGGTTTTTCCAGCAGTTTCGCACGACATAAGTGAGTTACAATACCCCAAGGTCTGGTTAGCTGGCACCCCTATCTACAAAATTGACTCCTACGATTCACATCCCATTGTATGGAGCCCAGAATCCGCTGTAGAGACCCATTTGTTAAAGAGAAGTCCTTTGATTTTGACTAGGAACAAGAACGCTTCTAGGAGGGTTCTACTGCAACAGCGCCATGTCGCCGGTCACCGTCTTTCGGCGACCGATCCACCGATGGATCACCAGCCGCCACCCCCCTCCAAACAGGCGCCAGGGAAAGGACATGTTCGCCTAATTTTGCCCGATCTCCTTCCTGGGGGGTCTACAAAAGCGCAGTCATGAAACCAACAGAATTGGACAATCAAAACATGTGCGAATCGGGACTCCTCGACTCCGGGAAAACCAGATCGCCTCAACCTCGCACGCGTTCCGCCAGCGGAGGCCTCCCGCTTTCGGCGTTTGAAAGATCTTCTCCGGGAGTTTGGTGATGCCAAGGTGGCCAACGGAGCGGTCTTCCGTTCGCCGAGAGGTCGAGAGGCGGGAGGATACGGGGGAGTGTCACTTCGCGATGCCTGTGGAAGACTACAGTTACTCTCCTTGTGGAGCAAAAAGTGAGACTGCAAAGCCACCATTTCATGTACATGAGGAATGCTTCATCATGTTGTGAGTGTTCACCGCAGCCTGCAGTGTGCGGGGTGAGCCAACCCAGATCCGTACGTTCATTGGGAAATTTGTAGAAGTTTCAGCTGTGATGTACTGTATATAAAGAACAGGATAAACATTTCGGCTTCGGTAGAAGTGATTGAATTTATGGCAGCTCTTTATGCCCTATGTATGTGAGCGAGGCGGCTTTCACCCTGAGATACCCAGTCAAGCATTCCCGGCTCTGATATAGACCTGGTTTGCATGTACTCTTCTAACTTCGCAAGGCAGCCGCCCTTAGATGCATGGATGTGCCCAAACCATGACAATCCAGGAGAAGACAGGTTTTGGTCATGTTTCCCTTTGCTGTTCCAAGTTCCAAGCAAGCCTTCTCAGGTGTGATGATCAACACCTTGCACCACCAAGAGGGGCTCCACACAACACCGTGTTTTCGTGTATACTTGGCGCTCATGGCATGTTGTCTTCGACACATGTGGTTGTTCTGGGTGTGGTTCTCAAGTCCTTCTTTCTTCGCGAGGTCTTGGTCTTTGTCCTATTCAAACGAGAGGCCGGTGGATAATTGGGTCAGTCGGGGGCATCTGACTTGTGAGAGATCCATCGGGACTTTGGAGGGGTGCCGTGGTGAGTGGTCGATAGGTGGAAAAGGGGTCAACAACGACTAGTAGCTTCTTGTTACTACTAGTAAGGCACTTGTTACTAGAAGCGATGCACTTGTTACTAGTAGCTTCTTGTTACTATTGCTACAATTTGAAGTAGACACAACCTACAGTAACCATACAGTAACCTACATCTACTCATTGAAGACGGAGATCAGTAAAGGCAAGTGGAAGAGGAACACTGTCCTGAGCAATAGACACCCCATTCAGAATCGACAAGAATGGGAGGGGATTCATTCACGCCCATTTAGACCCATTTGTGATAGATGTTCCCCTGTAAGATAGAACAGGACAGTGTCCATGGAAAGCTGTCTTTCTTTGTTTGCGTTATTGTCCCACCAGTTTGGTAGGAGCCCCCACAACCATTGGCCACCTCATGTGTTTTTTGGGGCAGCATTCAGTGTGAGGTGCTCGATATGGGGGCTACAACTACAGTCGGCGACTGTGTACTATACTCGGGTAGTCGCTAGGTGGGTGGAACGACCAACCATTGGTGAACCGCACAGAGCATCACTACAAGAGCCCATGAAATCCCCAGAGGCTCCGGCACCTAGGTCCTGTTTAGGAGCGGCCCCCCCAAAGAAAGAGGAATTGCAGGTCACACGGAGCAACGACGAAACCTTCCAGACCTGGTGTGACGCCAGCTGACTCGCTCGTGTGGCGCCTTGCGGCTCAGGCGAAGTCCTTGGCCAAGATGCTGCAGAACGAAGGCGGACGAAGCGCGTCAGAAGACGAGACGTTGTTTCCGACTCAGCTGATGGCTTTGTTTCCTACTCTTGGGTACCACTAGTCCATACTAATCCCACCAATCCAGCTTAAGGAGATGTGTTCTTGTGGTGTCACACTATCACACCTTCAATCCCAAAATGAGATCTTGCTGTCATCGTTTTTCACCGAAGACGGAGATTGCTCGAAAACTGCTCGATCCATGGTCCGAACTGGTCGTGAGGCATCCAATCCTGGCCACTCGAGGGGAACATGTCCCAGGCGCGTCGTGTGTCGTGTTGTTCCTACTAGCTTCTTGTTACTACTAGTAAGGCACTTGTTACTAG